GTCTTTTTCTGCATAAATTGTATTAAATTTACATTGTATTGACTCCAATAGCATAGGTTCTGACATAGGCTTGCCAAGGTAATCGGCGAAAAAATTTGAGGGGACTTTCACATTTCAGCAAAAATCCTACCAAAAAGACCTTTGCAAGGGCACGCAAATAGTATGAAATCGGCGCTCGAGGAGGGGTTATACGTGGCCTGCGTGTCCTTGTCAGAATCTATGTCCATTAGGTAAGGGAATAGATATTAAAATACATTAAGAGGGAGAAAGTATGATCATCAAAAATCAATAACTGATTCGCTAAGAATAAGAAGTGAATAGCGTCTAAAATGCTTGTTTTTATAACTTATTGATTGGAAATATTCGAGCAGTGACTTTGTTTTAGCTTCAGATTTTGATAAACCTTAAACTTTGCCAAAGAAAATCTTTTATCACTCATTTACTGAAAGATATAATTTCGGAGCGTGGTCATTGTCGAATCAATTTTTCTGAAATCCAATTAGCCAAAATTATATCATACATAAAAAACTGTTCTTGTACAATTTTGAAAGATGAAAATATTCAAATCGATTTCAATGGTAAATATTTTGACGTTTTCGTCTATAAACGTTTTTTTCTCTTCAAAATCTGGTAAATTTCTTCAATTTATCGACTTTTCGTAGCTAAATATCATATCATTGAATAGAGTTTGGTAATCCTGGACATAAAATTATAATGAAATTATGATCGAATATGGTTGTCTGTACTTTGGGCAGAGAATAAGGAAGGAAAAGAAGAAATATTTTTGGAAAATCATGGTCTTTAATTCACCTTTAAAGAAAATATGTTCGTTCGTATTGAGATATGCATTCATATGGTTTTTTCCTTATTAATTAACCTTCTTAAAATGAATAGAACATAACAATGTTACCCATAAAAAGTTGTATTTCTATTCGAATGTTTTCGAACGAAGTTGTTGGCACTAATAAGTAAAAATGGTCGCATATATAAATTACATTTAATTTTGGTAGGTTTATTATCAATTCTTCGAATATAAACAAATATGTACGAACTTTCATTAAATAGCATTACAAATCAATATAACAGTGTGTATAAATACGCAAAATTGAATGAAAAGTATTAGAATGACTTTGAAAGTCAGTAACAACAAGTGATACTGTGAATTTTTATCCCTAAATAATCAGATACCTCAACATTTTGATGATGTTTAGACCAAAACTGGTTTCTTTGCTCATCGTACCATCTTCTGGCCATGTGAATCTACATACATCCGCTACATCGAAAGCAAAGAAAGTGTTGACTGTAATTTTTTCGTAAACTGTGAAAATTAGATTCATAAATAGTAATATGTCGATTTCAGGCTATCTGGAAATCCATTGAAGACTTTTGCACAAATAGTGGCATACATGTCTTAAAATATTTTGCTGATAGAAATCGTCGTTGGTTTGAAAGGTTCTCCCGCTATTATAATCTTCATTCAAACATTGAATGTTGAAATATTTCTAATTTTTCCTAAACAGAATTTGGTGGTTGTCTACAGTAGTTATGTCGTTGAGTTTTTGTGCTTATTTGATGACAGATCTTTGGCAAAGGCGCGTCCATCATCCGGTGACTATATTATTTGATGATAAATATTCGTCGATTGGATCGATTCCATTTCCAGCGATAACTATTTGTCCATCGAATCGAATATCAGTCAAAAAACTAAATTTGTCCGATTTCTATGAGAAATACCATGACAATTGGCCGGATTCATTTGAAAACGCAACTATTGATGAGTTACAAAATTGATATTCAATCCAAAAGAAATTCATTTTAAAATATATCACTTCTTTTCGTTATAGGATGAGTAGGCTAAGCGGTACGCTTCATATGTGTGAATATCGATTTCGCGATATGTTTAAATTCAATGAAAGCAATATATCCGATGGAAAAACAACGTTTGAACGTGTGGATGATATTAGATTCGGCAGATTAGATGTGTTGCGATCATGCAGTTGGGCTGGTGAGGATATTGACTGTCGAGCATTCAAACCCGTTATGACTGAACGTGGCGCATGTTTCTCATTCAATGTATTGAATTCAAAGAAAATTTACAGTAATATGTAAGTTAATAACTCATAAGTATGGCTAATTTTTTTTGTAATTTTAAATTAAAACTTGCATAATTAGAACATCACCTGAAATACTCACAATCGATGGCAATCCAGATGAAGACGATTGGAGTATGGAACAGGAGTTAGAAAGGCTTTTGCATTCGCACGAAGAGAAAAAAAATCGTCCGAATTATCCGTATCATCTTGTAACGTTGGACGATTTTGACAGCTTAGACGTTGAACTGAGCTCCGATCCGGTTGATTGGTATTGGAATTATAAATGTGAATATTCCGATACAAGAAGTTTCAAGGTATTTCTTCATCGATCCGATGAAATAAAAGAAGCATTTTATAAACCATTTGAAATTGAGGTTGGGAAAAAAGTGATCGTTTCGATTACGCCCAATGTTATAGTCACATCAAAAAATCTAGAAGTATATAGCAGTCAAATACGACGATGTTACTATAATTCGGAGCGTAAATTGAAGTATTTTCAAATCTATACGAAAAGCAACTGTGAATTTGAGTGCTTTGTCAATTTCACAATAGCCAAATGTGGATGTGCTAAATTTTCAATGCCACGTAAGCCAATAGCGATGATAAACAAAAGATAGAAAATAATATTTACAATATATTCTTGAAGGTGAGAGAGATACGCGTGTGTGTGATGTGTACGAAATGGATTGTTATGCACAAGCACTGTCCGTACATCGTGGGGGTTTAAAGAATAACAAGGACACTGATGCCGCCGATTTTCGAGAAAAATGCAATTGTATCTCACCTTGTGCAGATATTCAATATATACCACAAAGCAACGATCTTAAATACGTGGGACAGAAAATTATTAGGTAAATGTTGGCTAAAATCGAAAATTGATTTTTTTTCGCAGATAGTGAAACCGAGCAACAAAAATAGTAATTGTTCTGAAAGAATATGTTCAAACTTTTTTTTTAGTAATGACTCGCGAACCATTTTATCACTGTCATTCAAAAAGCGTAAATTTCTTGTGCTAAGAAAAGATGAGGCATCTTCAATAACTAATAGACTTGCCACTTGTGGTGGAATATTGGGTCTGTTTATGGGCATCTCGTTGCTTAGCCTCATTGAAATGATCGTGTACTGTGTAGTTCAGTTTGCAAAAAAACTTACCGTACCAAAGAAAACACATCTGAATCTAAGACAAAAACGACTCGCTCTTCAACAGCACTATATCGATGCTTTTTCATCTATGGACGAAAAATAATAATAATTTATTGTATAATTAATCAAAATATATTTGCACTTCATCAATACTACAAAAAAATTGTTTTTTAATCGTATTTTAAGTAGGTCGATTAATCAAAAGACCATTGTCGTAGTGGGTATCATTTGATATTGGTAATGGATCAGTATCGCGTATTAAATGATCATAAATTACTGTCAGTTCTAGAATTTCTGCATAAATCGGTTCATCAGATGTTGTCAAATCACCTTCATCTGGAACATCTGTTAGGTCAGAAAGCGTTACAGAGTCTTCTCGATTATCATGTATCCTTTCTCTTGTTCTCTTGTATGATTGTCGAAAAAATAAAATCAGTGCAATTCCTCCGATACCAAGAATTGCTCCAATCAAACCAACTATCAGATCCAAATAATTTGGCTCATGTTTTGTGCGACATATTTTATATTTCTGATACATTTCGTTGCCAATGAAGTCCAAGTTTGGCCACTTTGCTTTAAAACTTTCCAAGTATTCGCATGAAATTCGATTTTTTGAAATGCCTAGAGTTCTTAGCCACGAAAAACGTGATGGAACGATGTCTTCTAATTCAGTCAAATTATTTCCTTCCAAATCAAGTATTTTCAGACATTCAAAGAAATAGTTTGTTACATTTTCCGACAATGGAGAGGGAAATATGACTCTTTGGATGTTATTGTTAGAAATGTTAAGCAGTAATTCTCCTGGTCTAACGTAGACATAATCATTCACATTCTTCTTGAAAAGTGTTAAATTCAATGAAGCATTTGTACTTTTCATAGGATTTCTTGACAAATCAAGAGTTTCTATGGAGGGACTGAACAATTTTATCAATTCTTCCAAATTTTGTCCAATATTACAAGCAGCGGCAAAGAAGTGCATTAATTTATATAAAGTCGGTGAAAACGATGTAAAGTTTAAATTTTCTAAACTGTTATTAGATACATCTAGCGTGATAAGCTGAAGATTCCCGAATTTCACAGGATCCAAATTATATGCAGATAAACTGGCATTTTTCACGTATAAATTTTGCAAATCCACGAAATTTTCGACAACCATTTTAATGTTTGCTGCAACAACATTATCAGATAGATCCAGTGTTTCAATCGATGGATTCAAATGTTGAAAAATTTGTGGTATGTTGTTTAGCTGATTGCCCGCAACAAAAAATTCATTCAAACGCGATAAATTCTTTAAAATCTGAGTATTTTTTAAATGTTTCAAATTGTTGTATGAAATATCCAAGGTCCAAAGGTCCGTCTGATTTTCCAGTACAGCAAAATCAAAATCTCCCAAATTCGTATTGGCCAAGTATAAACTATCTAGTTTGACGAATTGTTGAAAAGTAGTTACATTCACATTTCCTATGAAATTCCCCGTTAAGTCAAGTTTGAAAATATTCGAAGTTAAACACTGGAACATATCTAAAATATTCTCAATCCGGTTGTTTTCAAAAATAGTCAACGTTTCAAAACTTTGCTTGTTGCAATGCAATTCAATGATTCCGGTTGGTCTTCGAAAAAAACCCTCTTTTTCACTGTTTACAGCAACATAGATTTGTTCACCAATTTTTCTTGAATGCGAAAACGAAGAATAGTCTTTCCAAGAAACATACACTTCACTTGCTTTTACCAATGGTACATTAGATAGTTTATTATTTGTTAAGTGCAATGTTTTTAATTTTTTACAGTTGTAAAACATATCATCAATTTTATTGTGAAGAAAATTATTACTAAGATTGATGTACTCCAAGTTGATTAACTTATCAAGTAATCTACTATCAAGGTGTTTTAAATGATTGGATGAAAAATCAATTTCTTTCATTTCGGTGGTGTTTGCAAAAAAATCCGACGGAATTTCGATCAAGACATTATGTGAAGCATTAAACATTTTTAAATGCTCATGTTCCAACGAAAATGACTCAAAAGATTTCAGTCCTGAAGATGAAATGTCCAATGAATACAAATATTTATAGTTTTTCAAGCAATTTTTTATATATGGGAGTTCACATTCACTAATTTTCAAGTGTGTCATGTCAGTCGAGTTTATGTTTGCATCAGGATAATTTAATGCTTTTGGAAATAGATATAAGCATTTTTCGTCGGGCACTTTTTTATCTGATATTTCGCAATGATACAAATGGAAATCGCCAATATTTTTATCAACGAATAGACACACAGAACTGATCCGCTGTGAATAAACTTGATAGAAAAATATTAAATGAAGAGTTAAATTGATCAATAGCTGCATCGAATGAAGTGAATTTATTTGTTTGAATTAAATATTAATCTACTTGTTTGACTTTTGTTTTCGTAATTAAATCAATTTCGGAATATTTATTGAACAACAAAATAAAAGCAACACAGAGGGATAATCTACACTAATACACTTATCTGTAATTTTTTTGACATTTTACGCATTCTGTAAAATCAATACAGAGCAGACATTATATTAAGATAATTTCAGGCAGCTGACTCAGCTCAGGAAGCTAACGTCAGCCACTCAAATGGAGTGAAAACGGAGTATGGTTTCACACTCAATTTCATATTTGCTTGATATCCTTGAGCTCTTTCAGCTGGCTGAAAATATCTCAATATAATGTCTGATACAGAGACACTATACAGAATTTATATAATTTGCTTATGGTTTCTATGTCAGTGCAGCTCGGATGTTTGCAGACAATATATTAAACCAACCGGTCAGCTGAACTGTCAGTACGTTAGCCAGCAAAATGGGCTGAAACAATATAAGTTATTGTTATCATGATCAATAATAAAAAGTTATAAAAACAATAGAAGTGATTCATAATTATAACAATAACTTTTATTATTATTATTTATGGATTTTTGGGTCTACTTTGATAAGCCTTTTATTGTTTTAGCACATGTAACTGGCTAGTTAGTTCAATATATTGTCTGGATGTTTGACAGATGCGTTGATAGATGAATCAATAGTAAATTATACAGATTGTGTATACTGTCAATGCATGTGTCTATGTATTGGATTCTACAGAATACGTAAAATGTCAAAAATCAGACAGATTCTGTAAGTGTAGTACTGTAAAATGTTTATGTGTGAAGTATACGTTATTAAGTCTATCTTTATTGAGATAACGTTATTTGTACAATATATGAGGCGCCTTTTTTGTTGTAAAAAAATGAATATGCAAATACATATTGTTTAATGTTAAATATAATTGATTTCATTTAATCATATTTTACTTTTCCGCACACACATAGTGTGAAAGGGGAAAGTATTGTAATGGGTCAAAATTTACGACATCTCAAAAACATGTTTTCTGGACGTTTCTGAGGTCAGAGAACCCGAATCAGGCCGTTTTGAGCATGGTTGTTGTGGGTCTGTTCCACGTCGTACGTCGTACGTCGTACGTCGTACGTCGTACGTCGTACGTCGTACGTTGTCCGCCGTACGCAAAATTTGTCCATCGATTATCTCACCCCCCAGAAAAGTTATTTAAAATCTGACTTCACGGGATGATTGGGGGTCCCCAGGAATAGAAATCATCAGATTTTGAGCGACTTTGGTTGATGGAAAAAAATTCCATGCCTGGAGTGATACCTATGAAAAAGAGTCCAATTTTCGTCCAAAAGTCATACTTAATGTAGACTTAAACACTCAAAAATATGTATTGGGGGGTTTTTTGGCACGAGAAAACCGAATCCGACGTTAGTTTTGAGATACAATCAATTTTTAATACAGTTTCCTTGAAAAAATCACAAAAAATTTGGATTTTTGTATGGGAGCCATGCCTGTATGCTACCTTAATGACGTGAAACTTTGCACAGACTATTTTTTACACAAAAAAATAACATTCTGAAAATTTGAAGAGATTTCAATTAAAATAAGGGGTACCTCCCATACAAAATTTTCAATTGGCTCAAAAACGAATATTTTGTATGGGAGGTACTCTTGATTTTGGTTGAAATTTCTCCAAACCCTCCGAATGTTATTTGTGAAAAAAATAACCTGTGCAAAGTTTCACGCCATTAAGGTAGCATACAGACATGGCTCCCATACAAAAATCCAAATTTGTTGTGACTTTAGTTATGAAAAGTGTTTCAAAAATAATCTTTATGGCAAAATTAACGTCAGACATATTTTTATAGTATTTTGTTGGAAAATAGAATACTTTCAAATGTCGTACAAATGGGTTCATCATGAAAGTGTGAAAAATCTTTTCTTGGCTACTTCTGCTATTAAATTAAAGAATATTTCGTTGCCAAAGTTGAAAAATATTTTTTGGTCTCGAACTTTACGCCGCTTGAAAGACTTGAAGAATCGAGCAAATATTATTTTGAACTTTCTTAATAAAATACGCAACTACCACCGTGCGGAAAAGTTCGTCTTACTCCCGTAAGACTCTTTATTTTTTTTTTAATTTTAAGAATATTTATTATGCCTTATCTTATAAACATGTCATTTTTCGCGTTTGTGGACAACGTTTTGTAACATTGACCTAATGACTTATTCTCAATGATATGCCTACAAAGGAGTTGCCTTTCTATTTAAAATGTTAAAATTGATATTTCGTACAAGTTTTTGGTTCTAAAGTATTGCTGTTCTGACTGTAAGCTTAGGCAGTTCGGACATTAATATATGTACAAATGAAATGTCCCTTAATTAGCACAGTATGATTGAATACACTATTTGGACAAGTGTCACAAATCATTGGCATTGTATAATACGTTTATTTATGTTGATGGTCACTTGAATAGCGCAATTCCAAGGTTGACCTGCACAGGATAGTAGCTATTACGTAACCACATTTATATCTTGCTCACTCATTTAAATTGGATTTGATTATAAGAAATACCATTAAAAAGCATTACATGTGTAAAACTGATTATCCAATATGTAATAAATGGCTTCTTAGTGCACAAAATATTTCAGAACAGACTTAGAATTCACGCATGATCAAAGTGTAAAGCACATTAATGCTGATTCAAAAGTACAATTTTCACATAAATTCGTGATGAGAACTAATGAAGTGAAATCAAAACTAAGACCAAACATGGCCTCTGTGATCATTGTGTCATCACCAAACAATATGAATGGGCATCCACAGAGAACCAAATGGTTTTTTAAGCAAATTTGCGCTGTAATTTATTAAAAACTATTTGTATATGACATTTCAATAAATTAGAATGATTTTAGGCTATTTGGAAATCCATCGAAGACTTTTGTGCGAATAGCAACATTGGCGGCCTGAAATATTTTGCTGATAGAAGGCGTCGTTGGTTTGAAAGGTTTTTTTCTCTGATAATTCCAATTCGGATTAAATGTGGAAAGATTTCTCATTTTTCACAAACAGAATATGGTGGATTTCTTCAGTTGTTTTGTCATTCAGTTTTTGTGTCTATTTAATGGCTGACATATGGCAAAAGCGCGCACACCATCCGGTAACTGTAACCTTTGATGACAAACATACGACGGTTGCATCGATTCCCTTTCCAGCGGTAACTATATGCCCATCAACCCGAGTTTCGATGAAAAAAATAAACTTGACCGATTTCTATGAGAAATACCATGACAATTGGCCGGATTCGTTTGAAAACGCAACTATTGAAGAGTTATAATATTATTATTTTAACATATCAGTTGAAAAATGTACTGTATTAATAATTTTTATTGTTGCAGAAAGAGTAGGCTAAGCGGCGCGCTTCACATGTGCAAATCTCCGTTGCGTGAATTATTTAAATTCAACGAAAGCAATATAGCCGATGGAAAAACCACTTTTCAACGTATAAGTGATATTAAATACAATAGCAGCGAAGTTTTTCGATCATGCTATTGGTCGGGTGCGCCTATTGATTGTGGTGAATTTAAATTTATTATGACTGAACGTGGACCATGCTATTCATTTAATGTGCTAAACTCGAACAAAATGTATACCAATATGTATGTTATGTCTAGTATTAATTGGGAATCAAACATTTAAACAAAATTGATATTATCATCAGAACATCACCAGAATTATTGACGATTGATGGTAATCCCGACGAAGGTGACTGGAGTATGGAACGTGAACTGAAAAATCTTCTTCATTCAAATGAAGAGGATGAATACCAACCGAAATATCCATATCATCATGTAACATTAGATGATTTTGATAGTCTAAGTTTAGAATTGTTTTCCAGTCCGTTCAATTGGATTTGGAATTATAAATGCGAACTTCCGATCACGAGGAGTTTAAAAGTATTTCTTCATCGTCCCGACGAAATAAAGGAGGCATTCGATCGGCCATTTGAAGTTGAAGTCGGGAAAAAAGTGATCGTCTCTATAACGCCCAATGTTATTGTCACATCCAAGTATCTACGAACGTACAGCAGTCAAACTCGGCGTTGTTTCTTTGAGTCGGAACGGAAATTAAAATTTTTCAACATCTATACAAAAAGTAACTGTAAGCCAATAGCGATGATAAACGAAAGATAGAAAATAATATTTAGAATATATATTCTTAAAGGTGAACATGAATGTTTGGCCAATTACACTATAACCGAATGTGGATGTGTCATATTTTCAATGCCACGTAAGATAAAAATTCTGAATATTGAAGAGAAAATGGAATTAAGGGGAAGAATCGTTAACTACTTTTTAAGGGGAGGAAAGCACACACGTTTGTGATGTATACGATATGACCTGTTATTCGCGAGCGCTGAGAAAACATCGCGGTGCTTATAAAAGTAATGATACATACGCAGCCGATTTTCGAGAGAGATGCAATTGTTTGTCATCATGTTCAGATATTCAATATACAATTGAAAGCATCAATTTGAGATATATGCAACACAGTGGATTGTTGCGGGAAAAAGAAAAGTTGGAATCAATTGCCAATTAAATAATAATGTTTAGCTGAAAACTTTTTTTTTACTTACTCATTTCAGTTTACAATCGGGAACATTTTTAACGATGTCATTTAAAACACGTAAATTTCAATTGCTTAAAAGAACCGAAGCGCTTACGGTTACAAATGGACTTGCCGCTTGTGGTGGATTGTTGGGTCTGTTTATGGGCATTTCATTACTCAGTCTCATTGAAATGATTGTGTATTGTGCAATTCGATTTGCAAACAAATTTACCGCTCTACGCACTCTTCGACAAAATCAGAACAACGTTTTTCCATTTGTTCATTGAATTAAATCATAAAAAAATGTATTGGATTTGGTTTGCACAATATTTTATTACAATCTATCAAATTAGTGGATAGTGTTGAAAATTTATTGCACCATGTAAGTTTCACACTAACACCAATTACATCAAATAAAGTGCTAAATGTTACAATGTTATTATTTATTGTGAATGCGTTAAAAACATTTTTAAGATTGTATTTAATTAATTGATTGCATCAATTAACAAATTCGTGCTTGATTAGTTCGCCTTGCCTGCGTTTGCGAATAAAAAACCTCAATTATAAATAAGATGGAAGCAAGGCACAAACCAATAAAATGAATAAAAAATGCAATTTGTAGATCGATCAATGATAATGACGCTTGATCAACTCTGGTCATTAATCGAGTGTAACGACGATGCGTTGTTATTGTGTATTCGATAAAATCATACCAAAATGTCACAATACCTCCTTTAATAAAAGAACAATTAAAGTTTTGATTATAAAAAAAAATGTCAAGATTAACAAGCACCTTCAAAAAGTCGTTGAACATGATTACTAAACAATGGCTGTAACGCCGATCCTCTCTTAACAATGTAAGCCATATAAATTGTTTGCAGGCATTCTTCTATAATATGGATGGGGGAGTAGGGTGGTTTTTTTTTGGTCATTTTTCGGAATTTGTTGGGCAAATATTTTTTTTGCGTCTATTAGACGTCAGAAACAACATACCGGTGTAATTTTTGGTTTTCGTCTCACCAGTAGGTAGCGCAAGAGCTATATCGATTCCATGGTGGAACCCTTATTTATCCCTTGGAACACTAGATTTTGTGAAAACATAATAACATCTTTTCTCAATCATATCGGTCCGAAATGAAGAGTAATCATCATTTATGACCAGAATTTAGGTTCTGGTGAAGTTTTAAGCGATTTGGATGAAAATAGAACTGTTTTTTCTTAAAATTTACGACTTTTTTTCGATTTTTCCTACCAAAAATTGGAGAATGTACTAAAGGTTATACACTTCGTTCAATTCACATGTTCAAAACTCACGGTGGAATTAGCCAAATTGCCCAAGGAAGAACTCCGGATGGTAATTGGTTTACTTACCGGGCACGCCAGGGTCAATTCTCATATGAGAAATCTAAATCTCAGAGACGACCCGGACTGTAGACTGTGTGGTGGAGAAGGGGAAACCACTGCCCACCTCATAGATAGATGTCCAATGTTGGATACCATACGGGCTGACTTCACGGGCTGGAGATCCTACCCTTTGATTCATGCACCGAGTGTATTCAAATTGGTAACGTTTTTCAAACGGGCATGCGATGACAATCCATGCCTTAGAAACATTTTTGGATAAAAGACTATTCTCGTGTATTCAATACACACACGGGCGTCTTGCAATAAGTTATGAAACTTGAGCAACGAGTAACTATATTTAAATCTACTGTTTAAATAGGACACTCCCCGTTTTAATCCAATAATCCAATAATCCAATAAAAGGTAATACACATCTCCATAAATTGATGTGTATTGAAGCTGGAATGCTTTTCAACCAAAAATAATTGATTATACCTCTGGTATACAATCATTTGGACATTCCATATAGGTCGAAGACTGATATTTTTATTGAAAATTGGGAAATATAGAAATATGGTCGAATCGGTTCGAATGATCACTTTTTGGTTACCTTACAAAGTTACCTAAACTGACTTTCCGAAGTATTCCAATCACCGAGTTTGTCCATTTTGAGCTTACAAACAATTTCCATGCCATTTAAAAGCATTCCAAATTCCAAAAAATAAAGAGGCTTACGTACGCAAGCTGACTTTTCCGCATGGAACCGACATTTTGGGAATAAACAGAAATGATGGTCTATGTATGGTTGCAGTAACTTAAATTACCGTGAAAACTTGTGAATATTATTTTCTTATCAAAATAAATAATCATACTAAGTCTAAAGAAATTTCAATCCAAAAAATAGCCTGTTCAAAGTTTCACATCATTACAGTACCACAAAGGCAAGTCTATCATACAAAAATGATTTTTTTTTTCGATTTTTGTATGAAAAGTCTGTGAAAAATTGATTGCATCTTAAAACTAACATCAGATTCGGGTTTCTCGTGCTAAAAAACCCCCACTACACAGTCTTTCAGCGTTCAAATTGAAAGAATATCATTTTAAGGCATTTTTCTCATAAGTGCCTCTTCACAGTCTAAGTTTTACATCGATCAATCAATGTCGTTGAAAATTTGACCAGATCTATTCCTCGTAACGCCCAATCATCCCGTAAAGTCAGATTATGAATTTCATGTCTGAGCACGAAACCATCGTGTCACCAAAATGGTTGAAAAATGATCAAAAAAGTAAAATGTATGGATTGTGTCCATTCGGACCCAAAAAAATTACACCGGTCAACAGATATTGCTCAAAAACTAATCAGCACGTCTCCTAGTAGTCCCAAATCATCCTGCAAAGTCAGAATTTGAATTGAGTTTTTGGAAAAAGATTTATCGAGTTAACAAATTTTGGCAACACGCCACAGGACACAGGACACAGGACACATCACACACAGCGACGCACATTAATATGCCCCAAAATCATCTCCAATCGTGTTTTCTACATTAAATATGCATAGAAAACATGTTTTGGGATGACTTTAATTTTTTGGCCTAATACAATACCTTCCCTACACTAGGTGTGCGGAAAAGTAAAAGGCATGTGGCTAAGAATATACGTTCGATTTTTCCATACGGTAATTTTCTCTTCGGTCCCGATACCATAACAAACCACATATTAATGAAAACTCTACCCAATGAGCTGCTCTGTTTGCGTGTTTTTACTTGTATCCGTCTTTCTACTGGGTCTCTATCGAAATGTTGTTTTTTTAAATCATATATAAATTGTTTAAACATTGCATGGAATGACTAAGTATGAAACAAAATTCAAAAAAAAAAAAAAAAACATTAACTTTCCAATGAAAAGAAATGTATGCCATTCAGGCTATGCAACTCAATATACAATAGTTATACTAAGTACGAAACAATATTCCAAAACAAATAAAAAACACTAACTTTCCAATGAAATGAAATGTATGCCATTTAGATCAAATATAAAACACCAATGAATGAAACCAAATGAAATGTACGCTAAATACAAATAATAAAAACTTTCCGTTGAAATAAAATCTACGTTCATAAAAATAGCAGCAGTTTTATGAAAATTATACATTTCAGATACATATATGGTTTCATATGGTAAAAAGTTTTTACTAAAAACAAAAAATTGTAAAGTTTTTGCGTCTTTACATTTTTGTCAATTTTAAACAGCAGCTCATCAATAGATTATCCCATAAGATAGTTAATTGATTTAACATATAAATGCAAAGGTTTGGTTCCGCTAAATCAAAATTATTTTCATTGACTCTATCAACACAGTTTTTTTTAAATCATTGTTTTAATTGATGAAAAGGCACACATTTTGATTCGCAATCAGTATTAAAAATGATCCATTCGTCATGTTGATTTTTTTCTTTATTTTCCATTTTTTTTTCGCTTTCAATTTATTTAACATTTTTTTATGGGCTTCTACTGAGAAATTTTGGTGGCCATTTTTGGCTTTTGACGTGTCTGTAAGATACTGCCGCAAATGGTAGCGTAGTTGATATGGCTAATTAAAGCTGACAGCACACCGGGCAATTTTTGTCTTTGACAGGCTTAGCTTTTTTGCATCCTTCTATTTTATAAAGATTATAGTGGCCACGATGCTCTGTGTTATACCCGCATATTTCGCAGATTTTTTACCGCTCTTATTTTTCCTTTGAATTGACGGTAATGCTAATGTCTGTTGTTCATCATGTACCGCTTCCACTATGCGATTTTGTACCAATTCAGTGTTGCAACACTTTGTGCGCGGCGCACATGAAGTTTTACTTGGCCATGTACGCTCCAGTTCATTATAACAGACAATATTCTGGATTTGGAACCCTTGTCGAGGCTCTTCATTGACCAAAATCTTTGGTGTAAGCTTGATACGATGCTGCTGGACCTGGATAAAATATATAGATGATTATAGTAAGTTTAAAATGAAGATTGGAACATCATATGACGACATATTTGACATTATGATTTTGAGTGGAGACAAACATTTATAAAAATGTAATTGATGGCTTACATTATTTAATTTTGTATCATCAACAGCAACGTTCTGTTTGCAATTTTCATGGAATGTAGGGACCAAATTATTAGAAAGCACGGGTTTACTTCCGAGTGTCGAGTCGACAGTCATTGTTCTGAATGACACTGTTGATGTATGAAACCCACTTCCGAATATGCTTGATTTGGTTGATGTTGCTGTTGTCGTTGACATAGCCTTCGAATTGATGACTGAGCTGGCATATTGAAAACTTTGTGACCCAAATGAGAATTTCGATTGTGACATCAAACCTCCAGATTCCTTTTTTGAACTATTGTATGTTTCTGTGCAAACTGTTGCAGTGTTGATTT